CGGCTCTTGCGGATTCCGTTCCTTTTTGTTCCCTGTTGATCATCTTTTTAAAAAGAAGAGAAAATTTTGTTAAATTTTATTGTTAATTAGTTTTTTTTGATTTTTATTTTCCTTTATTCAGATTTCTACTTTTAAATTTGAATTACGGACAATTCTTGAAAGAAATTTAACTTTTCTCAAAGTAAAAGCGCTAGCATTGTTGCTCTACTTATAAAATTAAGTCTTCGCTTAACATTTTTAAAATTTAAAAAAAATTATTAAATTATTAAATTATTAAATATTTAAATATTTTTACTATAAATAAACTATATTATTAATTTTTTCTTTTACGATTAATTATTTAATTTATTATATTTTCTATTTCTTCTTTATTTCATTAATTTATTATTATTCTTCTTCTTAATATGAATTCTTAATTTTAATAATTTATTTAATTTATAAATTTAAAATTTTTTTTTAAATTTAAAAACTAGAAATATTTTTTGTTTTCATTATTTAATAAAATTCGTGGTCTTTGAATTTGGATTCTCTCAAATGTAGTTGATTGTCTTTCACCTGCTTTTTAATAAAAATTTCAAGTGTGTGTTACTTGTAACTTTACTTTGCACTGTTGCAAAAATGTGAGACACACGTAGGAACAAAACACGTGCTTCAGGCCACATGATTTGAAAACAAATTGCTGGAGATTATTATTGCTTTTTAATTTTCATAGTTAACTTTCTTTCTATATTTTTTAAAATATAAATAAATTTTTTCTTTTGATAATTGTATTTACTTTTAAATACAATAAATTCAGCAGTCTATAAATTTTCGAAAGGATATTTACATCTGACAAGTTAAGTGTAGCAAGGTTTTTTTTCCCACTTAAACTTTAGTTTGTTTTGTACGAATGACTTTTTGACAGAAGTGCTATAGTTAGAAAGGGTAATAGTCATGGTTTAAAGGGTTATAGTCTTGATTTAGCGTTAGTTTATTAGTTAAATTTACATTTAGTAGTGCATTGGGATCCATTTTCACTCCATTGATTAAATTTATTCTTTGTTGTGTAAAGGAAACTTAATGGTACAAAGAAATAAATAATATTTAAATCTATATTAAACAAATAATTTCTATTTACGCTATTAAAGTTTTTTATAAGAACTACTTAAAAACCATAATAAATCTTTAAAACTTTCTTTAGTAAATTTCCTAATATTTTATTAAAAGAAAAAGGATTTTGTAGTTAAGCTTATCATTTCCTAGATTTTTATATTTTTTATGACTCCATAAATAAATTTTTCTACCTTTTTCAAAACTCGTTGCTAACAAAAAAAAACTCTTAAGTAAGAAGTTATAAAATCCTACGCCAAATCAAAAATGCCCAGTATTTTAAATTTATACTGAAGTAATTTAACTATTATTATGACGAACAAACCTTTAATTACTTTATATCCAAAACTACTAACTTTATAAACGACGGTCTAGCAGAGAACTTTAGTATTAATAAATGGGCTATAAAAAAAGGTGTAAAATTCTTATTGCTCAGAATAAGTGACGAACAATTCTTTATAAAAAATTTATTGTAACTATAATAAAATTTATAGTTGACTGCCAAGTAGAAAACTTTTTTAAAGATAAATTGAAGTGGACTATAAATTTAAGCTTAAAAAAGTGAGTTTAAATAAAGTTCACCTTGTATAGAAAAAGTTACTAGTATTAAGAATATATGTTTGGAGTAGCAGAGGTCATTTTAGCTTATCTATTGTTAATTGAGCAGATTTTATTATTAATAAAAATATTTATAACTCCATATACATTATTTACGATACCCATTATATATAATATTGTAACAACCTAAAGTCTAATTCTATACTCTTTTTTTTGTTATTATTTATTAACTACGAATTTAGAGTGACCTTTATTTTGTTTCTTATGTCCGTCCTCCTTTTAATTTCGCAAGTAGGTTAAACTAATAAATAATGCTCGGGGGTAAAAAACCGTCTCTTATTTGGGACGCTGGGTACTTGCAGGTATCGTGGAACTGGTGGCGATATGTAACTGTATTTAGGCGTCTTAGCTGGCACTGGGTATACGTACTGTATGAATAGTGTTATTAGCTAGTAGGTACTATAAGATGACCGCGGTGAGCTTTTTCATAAAAGTTTTTGTAGTGTAAAAAAACTTTGACTCGTTTTAAAGTATTTAGATCCTTTATAATTTTATTTCTATGAATTCTAAACGTTATAGAAGAACCTTTACGACTCTATTAGCAACAAGATTAAAAAAAGGGTCAACCTTACTTGAAAATAAGCAATACTGGAAGCATGGAAGTCTTGTTCATAATAAAAAAACTCTTCTCAAAATCTTTACGTTAAAAAATTATTTTTAGGAAATAATATTTTTTAAGGATTATATAGTTTTAGCAGCAGCTACAACTTTTTTATAATAAAATATTATTTCCAGCGAAAATACGCATTTTTGCAATGACGGGGTCTTCGCGCGACAATCTAAGGTTTTAACAATTTCCACCGAACTGCACTGCCCAGAGGCCTCTCCCAGCCGTTTAAGTTCTTGTTAAAGGAAAACACCACGATAGGCTTCTTTAAAAAATTTTCTGAGTTACTATTACCTTTAAAGCATTATTCCTACAACAAAAGCTTTTTTTTAAAAAAGGCAGTGAGCTGGGGTTTTAATAAAATTATTTTCTTTAAATACCAAAAAAGTTGGTTCCTACAAAACTTGAAGTAATAAAAAAAAATTGTACTCAGAAAAACCGTTTAACTTTTTTTTTATATTCGAAATTACCGCTTAAAAAAATTTGCATTACACAACAGGATAAATATTTTTTTTTTTTAAAAAATGGGCAATTTCGACTTGGAAATTCTTAAAGCTCGTATAAAAGAATTTAATTTAAAAACAGCGATTGAAAAAATGCCTTGTTTTAGAGATTCTCTTTTAACTGGGATTGTAGGTAAAGAGATTACCTTTCACTTTCTAAAAATAAATAGATCTCTTAAATTTTTTTAAATTACAACACAGCCGGGGCCGGAGTAGGATTTAGCCTTTTCTTACTTAAACAAAATATCCGCTTAGCTTGCAATAGCGCCGTTTATACTTTTTCCTTGGCTTCCCTAGTTGCTTGGTGCGTTTTTATAATATTCTAAATTAAAAAAAAAATTACTTTATACAAATACGCGCAGGCACTTTTGCAGGCAGGAGTATCTAATGGAAAAGATGAAATATGAAGCTTTGCATAAGGAAATTGAGCGCACGTACGAAGACAAAAAAAGGAACTAATTAATCATTTATCAAACTACGCCCAATCGAAATTGCATGAGAGAATTTTATAAAGTTTCACAGATTTACTTTTAACCAAAATATTCAAAAATGTATCTAAAAAAAAAAGTAAGCAACTATATTTTTAAAAAAAATTTTATATTAAAAAAAAGATTTGACAAAATCCTTTCATATGCAAGTATTCCTTTTGTTCCATAGAACAGAACTTTATTAAAAAAAAAATTTTGCCATTTTTGTAGAAAACACAGAGTTTATCTTGGTTTGCTAGAAAAAAACCGGTGATGCCAGGGAAAAAATACAATTGTTCGGTAGTAGAAATCTTTCTTAATTAGATTTGCTTTCTACAATTAATAGAAATTTAAAGTTTACTTTTAAAATATTAAAGATAACAAGAATTTCGTACCAATACTCATATTAATCGCGCTATTCCTTAATACGAATAAGTGAATGCAAGAAAGTCCCAAATGAACCAAACGTGCTACAAATTTTAAAAATTTCTCATTTTTTAGTTAAAATATTGCTCTAAAAGAGAAAAAAGGTCCTTTATTTAAAAATTATAATAATCGAATTCAATCTCTAAATAATTTGTACATAAATTTGAAGCTGCAATCAAATCTTAACTTAACAGCGGCAGTAATAATACTGTTTCCGAAAAGAAATTTATATAATTAGGTATCTTTAAAATCAGTCATAAAAAAAAAGTAATAAAAAAAAAGCTTTTATTAAATACGTATAAAATAAAGTTTTAAAAATTTAATCCAAAATTCAAATTTGACTACTTCCTGCTGAAATTCTTAATGCAAACTTCAACTTTTCCTTGAATTCTATTTAAAAAACTATTACTAAAAAATTTAAATGTTTTTTTAATTAATATCCACCAAAAAAAACAATAAACTTGGAAAAAATTAAACGAAATAAATAATTATTTAGAATTAAAATCTAAAAAAAATAAAAAAAATATTTGTAAAGTAAAAAACTAATTAAAAATTGCAAATTCACCAGAAAAAAATTAAAAAAAAAAAGGATTAAAAAATGAGTGGAACATAAAAAATATGTAAATTAATTTACTCATCTACACAAAAATTTAAATTTACTTTATGGTTTTACTTCTTCTTTAAAGAACTTTTCAAGTTTACTGATTATTGATAATTTTTTTTTAAAAAAGAATAAACTTTTTCTTGGCAATAACAAAAAATAAAATTATTTTTTGAAAATTTCAGTATAGCTAATAAATTCACTGCGAAAAGAAGTTTGGAAACTTTGAAATTAAATTTTAAACAAAACATTTAAAAAAATAATAATTATAAGGTTATAATAAAATATAAATTCTAAATTAAAATTTAAAAATATGTATTAGGCTTACAAATAAAAATACTTATAAAAGAGGCAAAAAATAATTAATTCTAGAATTAAAAATTTTTTAAGAAAATTGTACAATAAAAAAAAATTTGAAAATTTAATTATAGCAAAATAGCAACGAAATTGACGTATTTTGTTATATAATAAAACTTATGAGAAAATTTTGAAATTTAAATTGAAATATATAAATTTTAAAGAAATCGCTACAAAAAATTAAAAATTGAGTATAAATTTTTTAAGAGCAGAACAAATAAAAATCTTAAATTAATTTCGTCATTAAAAAAAATTAGAATAAATTATAAAAAGTTAATAAAACTGAATTATAAAATTTAAAAAAAAAACTTTTGAAGGGCAGTATTTACGGGTGTGGCCTTCTTCACCGCAAACAACACAAAATTTTACGTTTTCCTGAAAAGTTCTAAATCTAGAAGTTTTTATAAGGAAAAAAGAATTGATAAAAATATAAAAATACAATATTAAAAAAGAAAAATCAAGGAATTAAAAAAGATTAACTCGAGTTAACAAAATTAATATAATTCATAATAAATTAAATAAAAGTTTAAATTAGTAAAAACTTTGCAAAAATAAGAATAAAAGCAGAATTAAAAATATAAGATAAATTGAGTTAATAAATTAGATGAACTCGATTATATTAATTTTATTAATTTAATTCAATATAAAAAAGTTAAAATATATAAAAACTTCCAAAAAATATGTTAAAAATTAAACCAAGAAATTAACGAAATTTATAACTTTATATAAAAGTTAAAATATATCTTCATACAAATTAAAATAAATGTGTGTATATATAAATTTATAAATTAAAATGAATTGTAAATTATTAAATTAAATTATTTAGAAAAAACTTTAAAAAGTTGAAAAAAAAAAATGGCATTGTTTACTTAAACTTTTCATATATTAAAAAATATTATAAATTAATGAGTAAATAATAAATAATAAATAAAAAAGGGAATAGTAAAATAAATAAAAATATAATTTTATTTAAATTTGCACTAAATTTTTTTAAAAAAATAATCATGCTGCTCTCAAAATTTTATAAGTTCTCTTCAAAAAGTTTCATATTTTCTCTTTTTATCAAATAATAATAATAAGTCAACGAGAAAATGAATATATAGAAAAACTTTTCGCAGGAATGAGGAGATGGGAGACATTTCTTACAGGCGACGCAGTGCATGTAGTGAGGTTTGACACACGTGTTGCATTCGCTGCAGTGAACATACCGCCTCCGCCCCGCAACGGAAGTGCACGTGTTGCAACGCCGGCAGTGCCAATTGTATTGGCTGACCCAAATCTCGCAATACCGACAGAATTGATAGCCTTAAAAAAATAGTTGTGGTAAAATAAAATCTATTTTTTATTAGTAAAAGAAAACTTGATAGAAACTAAAATAAAAATGTAATCCTTTCTTCGAAAATGAGATTTTATAAATAATCAATGCTCGTGCAAAATATTAGTTAATAAAAATTTTTATACAATCAGGGAGTCTATCAAAATTACTTATAAATATTAAAAAAAAAAAGAGCAAAAGCGTTATAAAAGTGCCTTAAAGATTGCTAACAAGAACCTGAATCAATAAAATAATTTGAGGATGACCTAAAGGTCTATAAATTAATTTATTTTTTAAAAAAATTAAAATAAAGTTTAGTTTAATTAATAAAAAAAATTCGAAAAAAAATTAGAAAAAATTAAACCGGCATACAAAAATTTATATAATTTAAAATTAAATGTAAAGCTTAATATTTAAAAAATTGCTTAATAAATTAAAAGAAAATCTATATATAACCAAAAAAAAGAAAAAGAATTATAAGCATTTATAAAACTTGAAAAAAACTAGAAAAATTGAAAAAAAAAATGCAAGATTACATATTAATTTTTTTAATAGAATTTTAAAATCAACTTAAAATTTCTTTAGACCGAATTCTTTATTATAAAAAGAAAAATAAATAAATAAACATTTATATAAAAGTAAATTTAATAAATAAAAAATTCACATCAAGCAAATACTAAATTTATAAATCTGAAAAACTTTAACTTAAAAAAAATATAAATTACCTTAATTAAAAAAATAAACTTGAAAATCTCTGAACAAAACAAAATTTGCTTAAAACAATTAAAAAATGTAATAAATCTAATAATTAAATAAACTGCGAAAAGATGAGAAATAAAAAAATAAAATGCAATGAATATTTCATCTAAAAATTTATAAATTTGCGAAAAATATAAACCATCAACGTCTGCTAAAGAAATCTGCTTCAAAGGAACGTTCGTAAATATTCTCACCAATGAAATATCTTCATTTCTAAAAATAATTATAAATAAAATTCAAGTTTAATTAAAAAATTCATAATATAAGTAATAGTTAATGCTATTTACTTGTAACAAATTAAATATATATAAAAAGTTAATAATAAAAAACCTTTGTAACTATCTAAATTACAACTTTCTTGTTACAAAAATTTAATAAATTATAATTTACTTAAAAAATATTAAATTCTATATTAAAAATAAATTAGAAATTTTTAATAAAAATTTGTTTAAAGAAAAAAAAATTAAAATAAAAAGTTAAAAAGATACTTTTCTATAACAAAAATTTCGTAAATTAAAATTTACTTAAACTAGAAGAAAATACATTCTACCTTCAAAAGAAATTAAAAACTTAAAAAAATTATATAAATCAAAAAGAAAAATATAAAAAAATATAATATATAAAAATTAAGTATAGAAAATCCAATGCATAAATGTTAAATTTTCTAGTAGTAATAAATATTTTTTAAATTAACTACTTTTCCATAATAACGAAACAGTTAAAAAAAATTAAATTACCAATTAAAATTAGTAAAATTAAAAAGGCTAAATTTATCTAATTGATAAAAAAATTTCAAAAAAATTAATATGAATAATAAAAATAAATGAAAATACAAATTATATTCAAGTACTTTACCATAATTAAATATTTCGAAAATAAAATTTTTAAATACAAAAAAAAAATATAAAAAATCTTTTTGCTGAAATATATTTTAAAAATAATATTTATTTATAAATTCTTTACGTATAAATTATTAAATTTATATATAAAGCAAATTTAAAACCTTCTTTTCTTAAACACGTGGTGGTTGTCGTAGTTGACGCGGTAGTGAAGCGGCTTCAGTGAGGGCTCGCATGTTTGCAATAACGATGTTAAAAAAATAGGGAAGATCCAAAAGATTTTAATAAATTTCGAAGATGCCTTTTCAGTAAATTATTAAAAGTTAATTATAAACCAGAATCAGAAAATATAATGAGCTAAACCTATAAAAAATCAATCAAATTCATTAAAATATAATAAAACCTGCATAAATTTCAAAATTATACAGTTATAAATTCATTAAGTTAGTAATTTCTTATAATAACTAAATATAAAATTTAATAAAAAAAAATTATAAAAAAATTAGATTTATTTTTAAAAAACTAAAAAAATCAAATTTATATACAAATAAAATAATAAATTAAATATAAAAATATAATTATCTGCAATAAAAATAAGTTCTTCACAAAAAATTCGTTAAAATTTAAAATTGAAATATAATAAAAAGACTACAGAAACAGCCTTTACAAGATTTTAGAATAAAATTAAATTGCTCGTGTAAATTTTCTATCTAGTCAAAAATTAGACATTAAAAAATTGCTAAAATAATCTAAAAATTAAAAATAATAAACGTATAAAATCTTTTCTTTACAAATTTTATATAAAATGAAATAATATTCAATTATGTAAACTATACAAAAATAAACGTTTAACAAAATTTTTTTTATTCGCTACTTTTGTATATATTATAATATAAAAAATGACAATACAGCTAGGAAGGTTATAAAAATAAAAGGTTAACAAATATTAGAATCAAAAAAATTTGAATAATTTAAATTAACTATTAAAAAAATAAAGAAAGAATTTTTTAAAAAATAAATATGAAAAATGAAAAACCCTAAAAAAAGATTTAATCACGTTTCATAGTAAATAAACTGGAAGAAAATTTATAAAAAATAAAATCAAAATCATTAAATTTATAATTTTTTTTAAAATAGTTACATTATATGGAAAGGCCAGTAAAATTTAATGTAAATAAAATAAATCTATAAAATTAAAAATAAAATAAAAATTAATTTGTAAAAGGTATAACAAAAAACTAAAACGTTTCATATAATAAATTATAACAAATATTTATTAAAAAAATTTAACATTATAAATATAAAAAACACCAATTAAAATTAAATAGTTAAATAAAAAAGTAATATTTAAATTTTAAATTAATTTAATTTAAATTAATTTAGGAAGTATAACAAAAAAATAAAAATTGTATTAAGAAACAATAATAATAATTAAATTAAAAATGTATACACTCTCCAGTAATTTGCGCAGCGCCGAAGAGACTAGTACAGGCAGAGCACCGAATGGAGGATCCACAATCACAGCATCCTGTTATAAACATATTAAGAATAATAATATAAAGTCTGCAACAGAATAGTAAAACTACATAACTTTCTTTAATTTAAATAAAATTAGTATTAAAAATAAATCCACAGATCAACGTTATTTATATTCAAATAATTAATAAATCAACAATCTGCAACAAAAAAATCGATGACTTTTAAAAGATATAAAATATATTAAAAAAATCAATTTTATGTTTAAAAATCGTTGAATAAATTAAGTCAATTAATAATATAAAATAAACAACAGTAAATTTTATTTTTAAAAAATTTAAAGCCATAAAGCACATTAAATAGTAGTAGTGCATATTTACTAAGTTAAATTAAAAATAATTTCAATCCTTTTATTCAAAAAGATTAATAAAAACTATAAAAGAAAAAATAAAAACTTTTTATACTATTTATATACTCAATTAAAAGATGAACAGCAATTAGAAAAAAACCCTTATCTATATAAAAATACAGAAACTTACTAAAAAAAAAGTTTAAAAAGAAATTATTTTAAACGGCAACCAAGTTACAGGTAGAAACTTAAAAAAAATATAAAGGACTAATAAAATTATTAAATCCAATCTTTTTTTAAAAAAATGCTAAAAAGTTAAATGTGAAACAAAAAAGTCGTGCATTAAATATTAAAAGTAAATTTTATTAATAGCAAACTAATTCCAAACAAACTTATACATTAAGAAAAATTTTTTCTTAAAAAAAAAGTCAAAAGTAAAAACTTACACAAACTTTTAAGTAACTTGTAAGCCGCTTTTTTTCATCACTATTAAACACGTGGCCATTGCACATATTGAAAAGACAAAATGTTGTCGGAAAAAAAACTTTCTGATGCAAAAAAAAAGGTAACGTCCATAAGAGGTACCAAATTAAGCTGATAAGAAAGTACATAGCGAGGATCCAGATCTAGCAAGAGGCTGTTCACTTCGCAGCTTGAAAGGACTTTTTCTCGCTGGATATACCCGTGAAGCCTTTTTTGTAATAAAATTTGGTTTATGATATTTAATTTTATAAATAAGGCTATAATGTAATTAATATAAGTATTATTACATTGCTATATATAAAATACGTATGTATAGGTATAAAAGAAAAAGTTTTAAAAATGATTTAATCAAAAAAATAAGTAATTAAAAATAAAAGAGATTTAAGAAGTTGAAAAATATTTAAAATTTAGAAAAAGTTTTTAAAGTTATATTTGTTATAATCATTTATAAATTTTATAGAACGTTAGAGAAAGTGATGTGTTTTTATTATTAAAACATACTACAGACAAACAAAAAAAACGGCAAGTAACTGTAATTATAAACACCTTGGAGTGCCAATGCAAAGAACATTATTAGATTGGGTTTGCTTAAGAATAGAGAGTAAAACGGAGCAGGTGGAAGCAGAAAAAAAAAACTGGGCATTGCCTTTATCTTGAGATAACGGCTTCAGCGCAAAGGAAGGCTGTAGTATAGTTTCCTTTGTTAGGTTCACAGTAGTATGTTGATCGGTGTGTTTTTGGTTGATAATAACTTCACTTGTAACTGCTTTATATTTATTATTATGGAAAGTTTCATATATGAGGAGGCGACAGTCTTCACAATATTTAACGTCTATAAAAAATATATTTGAGATTTTTAAAAAAGGAAAATTTAAAAATTCAAGAGACTTTTTCCAACACTACAAAGTCGCAAAGCAGATTTCAGCGATTCTTTATAATAAGTAGTTTTATATGGTAGTAAAAGATGATGCGAGGAAACGGAGCGTTGAGGGTGTTTGTTGAGATCTTCTTCTTTGCAATAAAAAGAACAGAGTTTTCTATCTCGATATGCAGAACAGGCGTAAAATCTTTTAGATTCATAGTGTGAACCTTAAAGTTTTAAAATAAAATTTGAATTGATTTAAAAAACATTTAATAAAAGTCGTGCTAAAGGTGGCTTACCAGAATTATCTCCAGAACTTTTATTACAAAAATAAAATCTTTCAAACAAGGTAGTTGGCCCGTGAAGACAAAAAGGAGCTTCCTTCACATCGTTTAAAATAACTTCAATCCCTTTTTAAAAGCTCAAAAAGATTTGTTTTTATTATAATACACAACAAACTTGCAAAAAGAGTGAAGGCAAGGGGGATGGAGATAAAAATAAATTGATTAATAATTAGTGACACATACATTATTAAATTTTAAACTATAGAAAATATAGATATTATTATTTTTGACAAACCTAGCCGCTTAGAATATGCATTAGTTGGTAATTTTTTTTTCCTTTTAAACATAATCACAAAAATTAAAAAACAAAAATTTATTGAAAGTAGGCATGAAGCCCTTTAGTTGTGGTCACGCAGTGAATTTGTTGTCTTCTGCGACATTTCTTTTTTTATTTATTTATGAAACGACCTTCTATTTTGCTTTTATCTAACCACCTTTTAGTAAGAATTTTTAATATATATTCCATTATATACTTGGAGGAAAATAGTTAAATTTTTATTGAGTTTTTAGGAAATATCTCTCCAAGAAGTTTATCCTACCGGAGCAACTCTACTGTTGCCCAAGAAAATATTGTACCTTTTTGGAAAAAATGTAATTTCAAATTTATAAATCAATTTTTTTTTTATTAGTTTTCTAATTGAGGTGTCCCTCATCCCCAAAATGTGTTTATTGCTAAAACGCTTCTTGATTTATTAAGAGGCAACAAATTGAAAATATTTGTTCATCATAATAATCTTACAGTTAGGGTAATTTTTTTAAAATATATTTCTCCTTATTATTAATATAAACTTTTCATTCTAAGGAATGGATTGATTTAAGATTACTTTTAGCGAAAGAAGATGCAAAGATAAAAATCTTTCCTTGTAGACTCTCCTCAGTTGTTCTTTTGGAGAGCGAGTTTAAAGGTTAATTTGCAATACTTAAGAAAATTTATTTTTATTTGTTTTACATGTCTTTTTACTATTTATTTTTAGCGGGTTTAAAGTTTTGTACTATTTTATTGAAATTTAACTTTTTTTACCGTTTTAGTTGTAATTTACCTAATCTTTAAGCTAGTTTATAGATTTTTCATTTTAAAAGATGAATTTTTTGTTAAAAATTAATATTCTTCTTCAGCGTTGGTTCCCTTTTTTGCGTCGAGTACTGCAGTGCTAACGAGTAATAATCCTTCTAATCTACCTGGGATTTTTAATATTATTTCCAAACATCCAAAGCTGGTTTGATTTATTTCATTTAACGTAAATAGGAACTTTTACTAAATTGTTTGTAAATAAAATAAAGACTTTTACACCATTTTTTTAATAAAAGGATTATTCTGTCAATAAAAATATTGTTTTAAATCAATTTACTTTTTTTTAAGTTAAAATAAACTTGATAAAAAATTTTAATTTATAAAAAATAAAAAATAAAAGTTTAGTTTGTTTTAATTTTCATAAAATTTTAAATTTTGAAAGTAATATTGAAAAAATTTCTACTAAAAGTGTTACCAATTTTTTTAAAAAATTTTTTTTATCAAATTATAAAAATAATGCAGAGTTTTTTACTAGTTGTCTCTAGGAATGCAACTGGACGAAGTAATTTTTACTGTTACGCAGATGGTTGTTCTCGCTAAGCTTCCCCCCATTGAAATTTTGAGGTAATTTTATGTGTTAAATATTTTTTTTAGTTCTTAAATTTTATGGAATTTTTTAGGGCTCAATTAATTTCTACATTGGCAACACCTGTTAAGCGTACACTCTCACTATTATGCCATAATCAGCAAAAATTAGTTAATCTACTGAACTCGTTGACCTATAAGGACAATAAATAAATTAATAAAAACTATTGTATTTATGATATTCTAAAGAACACATTTTTTAAGGTATAAAAGTAGTCAATTACTTGTTTTAATGTTAATCATTATAATTTAATTTGGGATTGTAGCGCAGTCACGAATTGAACTTAAGTTAAAAATGTAAATAAGCTACATTTAGAAAATTATAAAAAGATTAAAATTGAGCTAATAAATTTATTTATAACTTATTAACAAGTGATTTTTGGGCATTCTCTCTCGCTTCTGAGGAGACTTTAAAGTTTTTTGGATCCATTTGTTAGAAAAATTTACATAAATATATTTGTAAAATAAATAAAAGTAAACATTTAGTTTGATAAGCAAATTTCAAAGTGAAGCTACCGCGTATTCAAACTAACGTTTTTATAATATTATATTTTTTATTTTTGCTTACAAGCGACTATTTACAAGTGTGACTTTAATCGTATTTTTAAAAATAATATATTTTATTTTTTAAAAAAATTTAAATAAATTTTAGTATTATAATTATTTTTATTTGTTACCTGAAAATCTAAATATTAATTACACAATATTTATATACTTAACTATAAAAAAAATATTCTGAAAGTAAATTAATAAATATATAGTATTTAGAAAATATTATGCATATATATATATAAATTTTAGTTTGTGCAATAGTTATTTTATTCATCAGCTTAAGTAGTTTTTAATATAAAAGAGAATTGCCCCTCAAGAAGCTTCAAGCTTTCCAAAAACTCAGTGACAGGCTCCTGCGAAAGTGCAATAAAAAAAACTTAAAAAATCCTATTTCCGTACTTTAGATACTAAGATTTAGTCACTTGAAGAAATTTGAAAAAAAAATTGATCAGTTCACAAAAGCTTGGAGCGCCAATAAAAAAAGTTCCCCTTCTTGTTTAGTAACTCTGGACACGTTAACAAATGTTATTTACTGCTTACTGGCATTATAACGTTTTTAGCCAAAGTTGAAAATAAAGACATGAGAGAACAGGCCAAAAGGTGATATCATGTTCTATCCGAACAGTACATCTTGTAAAGGGCTAAAATTTAGTTTATAAAAAATGTAGGTGCCACCCCCTCATATATTAGATTTCGCCCGGCTTGATTTTTATTTTATATATAGGCTTTTTTTAAAAAAAAGGAAACCCAAATGTAGGGAAAACGCCAGAGAAAACAGTTTTCAAGCTACTTCTGAAAGTGTTAATTTTTAATTTAAATGTTCTAAACTGATACAGTAAAGTCGAAGTTACTGTTGTTTATTAATATTTATATATGCAATTATAAATATTAAAAGAATGGCCTGCGTATGCAAAGTATCTTACTGCTCTACCCTTTATATAACTGCTTTCAGCAAGCTTTTTAAAAACTAGATATACATAACGCTATGGAAAAACTAGAGTGCTTGCTAAACCAATTAAGTCATAGAGTCATTTAAAAAATATAATATAATTTTTTAAGTGATTGTAGTTAAAAAAAATTTAAACTATGAGTTAATAAAAAAACATTTTTTTTTAAATATAAGCCACTTTCAATTTAGTATAAAATATATAAAAAAGAAGGTGGTAATAACGAAACCTGTTAAGAGTAAGAATAAAAACTGACTACACAGAAACTACATTTTAACAAATATGAGCTTTCTAATTGAGGAAATTCCAATAATAGAAATCGATTTCCCCCATTTATAAAATTGTCCAATTGCAAGCTAAACTTAAAGTAAAATGTGGTAAACCAACAATTTATGTGTCTAAAAAAAAATTAATATGGCAATTTCGAATAGTTTGTAGCTGAAAATTATAAGTAATATTATTTTGTTTATCTTCCTTAATAAATACTTTATGTTTTAAATAATTTTTTAATTGTTACTTTAAAGGGGGCTCCTGAGTAGCAGTTTATTAACCTCTATGACTGTATGCTTTATAATTATATACATTTGTTCGCAATAAAAATATATTGAGTTTGGATCTTCGAGTAATAAAATTTATCTCAAAGGCTTTTAAGTGACGGCAAAAAGTAAGTAACTTTACTGTAGGTTTAATTGGAAACATTAAATAAATGAGGGTTGTCAACTGAAAAGATCATAGATTAACCGTTATATTAACGGTAAAGTATTACTAAGAACGTAATTAAGTTATCAAAATAAAGCTAACAAACTTCATTATTTAAATTATTATAAAAAACGTATTTTATATTATTATAGTTTTTATAAATTTTAAAAGTATATTTTCAAACTGCCGCTTACACTTAACTCTAGTTACTAACAAGTAAAAATCTTTTTACCATATTCCAGTAGAGCTTTCAACAACCGCTATCTTTAAGTATATCATTATTTTTGCCCTGCCGAGTTGAGCTATTAAGTAATTTCGTTCTTATTTGCATAACCGTTTAGAACTTGCCTTTATAAAATATATTGGCTTTAAATTTTTTGTGACACTATATGTTTTCCTTCGCTTCAGCAATATTTTAATAGTAAAACTTAAATAATTTTATATATAGTATAACTATAAGTCAAACATAGCAAATCACTTTAGTTACCGTCCCCTTTTTAACTCTTTACCAATTTTTTTTATAAAAATCCTAAATCATTCTATATTATATTAAAGTTTTTTTTAAACGCCGGTGTATTGTTTACTTCCTCTTTTCTTCAAATTGTACTTTTTTTAGTATATTATAATAAATACCCTTCATAGTCTTTAAATTTACCGCTGCTCCTGTTTAGACTAAATACTTAACATTTTTCTATGTTCCTATATCCTTTGTCTTTATAACAAGTTAGCGTAGCATTAAAACGTTTTACATTCTTAGTCCCCATGGTGGAATATTAAAGCTTTAATAGACTATAACTCATATTATTTTTTACCAAACTTATCTTTTAGGTTGTTCCCACTCTATATAAGTTTTTATAAATCCTATTGTTTTTACGGGTTATACAGATTATATCGGTTATATTTTTATTTATCTGTTTGCTTACACCTGTTATAAATTGTTGGCTATATTTTCTATAGAGAGGAATCACTATTTCATTTCTGTTATGCTTCCTCAAATAAAGGTTTCGACCGAATCCAAAGAAAATCTTCTACCGGACAGTGGAGAATACTTTGAAGATTTTAATATTGCTGGAATTATAAGTTCTTTAAAAAATTCTACTAAGTTAATCATACGTAAGAGGAATGCAGGAGTTGACGTTGCTGAGAAGCACATAGAAAATTTAACAAGCTCAAAAGCTCGTAGCCCTATTACCTCAACTAAGTGCGGTAAGCATACCAAGCAACCAGCTGAAATTTTGGTATTGAAAAGGAAAAGGGGTATTGACGGTATGAAAGCGTCACCTAAAAAGAAATTGACTTCTGAAAAAACAAATAATGAAGTTTTTCACCTAAAACAACCCCTTTTAAAAGCCACTTCGCCGGTCCAATTCGATAAATTCAATTGCAAATCTCTTACGCTTAATGTTAAAGAAGGAATGTCAAGCTCTTCCCCATCCCCAAGCAAAAACCCGCCCTTTGAAAATAACGTAGACTACAAAAAGTCTGGGAGTCCCGCATTCAAGTCAGATAATAACGTTTTTAGAAAAATTTTACCAGTTTTAGAGGTATCAGAAAAAGCTATGGCCTTAAAACTTAGTGGAAAGAATAGGGTAACAAAATTTACTTATGTCTAAAGTAGCAAACATATTCCTCTCCTTTAAGCAGAAGCCACAGATGCGCAAACTAGCTAGAACTAAAAAAGTAAGTGCTGTTATCGAAAGGAAGGAAGAACGTAACAAAAAGGGCGGAGGAAAACTCCCAAAGAAAAAAACCGATAGCAGGACTAATTCTACTGAATCAGTGACTACATTTTTATTTTATTTTATATTATTGTTGCTTATTATCTCTATTATTCTTAAGTGTTCAAATAATCAAGGGAGAAATAAGGAAGATGCCGGCATAACATATACTTCATCTCCCTCAAACAGCCATACGAATCTTTTTTCAATGCGAGTTAGTTAAAAACTCAATAACTTTTTAGTCTATAGGGTGTTAAATTTTTTAAAATTCATTTTGTCTTATAGCTGAGGTAGTAGTAATATATTTTTTAAATTACCATATCCTCTACAATTTAAAAACTTTTTGTTCCTTTATATAACAACATTTGTAAAAAGTTTATTGTGTTGAAGAAAAAATGGTTACGGTTATCACCCTTCTAGCTCTTTTTTCTGCCATGCATACAACCCTTGCTTTTTACCCCCTTAGTCACCCTGGTCTAAGCCTGACGTCTCTGTTCCTTTACTCCAACCTTCATGAATAACTTAATAAACTTCTATTAGTTTCTGGTAAAAAGCTTGAAAGTCTTTCTACCAGTATTTTGCGTGATATATCAAAAGCTGTTGAATTCATTTTGTTTTATAGATATTTTCTTTTTGCTTTGCCTTGTTGAAGCTAGCAGCTCGCTCTTATAAAAAAGAATAAGAGTGAACAAAAGGGGAAAAAATTTATTTTAATAGACATAAAATATGTAAGCCTCCCTTGTCACTTCCTTGATAAATTTAATATTTATTGTAAAAAGAAGGTTTTCTCACTTTAACAAATATTTTATTTTACTTTTTTTCACAATTTTTAAATTCCTTTTTATTTCTTTTTGCTATGTTAAGATGCAACAAGTAGCTTTATAATAATTCTCTGGGCTATTAAATTTGTTCACCTTTTTATTTAAAAACTTTGTTCAACTTCATATGGAGCGTTATATGTCAACCCGGAGTACAATAGTTTATATACTTAACGCTCGTTTCATATTTTTTTTAAGAGAAGCTTTAAAAAAATATAGAATTTTCTGTAATAGTTATATTAGTTAAATACGATTTTGTGGTGCACTTTAGGCGCCCACGAAAACACAAATGGGTGTTATTTTTTAAAAAATATGTTTAACATTGTACTAGAAAGGTCAGAAAGTTTTGCTTTAACAAAAGTTTACTCGCAGGTAAACTAATAATGTTTAATAGCATTCTGTCGGAGGTCGTAATACACGCAGTGTTACCAAGTTATTACCGGTTTTAAGTTTCCACAAAGCTCCACCCATTAACGTTAACAAGCTCAGCACCGAAGAACTTTGTAAGCCTTTTGTAACACCGAACTAACCAAAGTTTATTATTTAATATTAATTTTAATTCTAAGTAATAATACTATCCTATACTAAATATCCTTTTCTCTCGCTTAATTTAGTTAAAAGTTTAAAATTAAATTCTTCATTACAAAAACAAAATTATCGAAGTTTTGCTGCCGACTTTGTAAAACCGGTTGAAGAACGGTTCCTGTTTATAAAGGTCTTATTTTAAAAAAAAAGTTTAAGTTTATGTTGCGTTCAGCATCGGAGCTCAAGTTGAAATTTATAGCGAAAAAGATGTCTGGGTAAAAGTTTTATAATTTAATTTTTTTTCGTCTTTTTACGTAATTCTTATTTGTAAACAAGTATGCCGCCAGGATTAGACGCAGAGATGTGGTTTATGAGAAGCTAATGAAGGTAACTTTAAAATTAATAAATTAGTTTTATCTAATTTCTTAAGGAAGTTACTGAATTACAGTAGAATTTAAAAATTTATATTAATTTTATTAATTTTTTTTTTAGCAAAATACTAATCTATAATAGAATTTGAAATTTTTTTGTTAGACATCTTAAGCTCTTGGAATTTTAATATAGTTTCTTTGCCTTGTTATATCAAACGTTGATTTTAGTTTCACTCAAAATTAAGAAAAGGCGTTTTTTTATATAAATTTATTTTTTTAACTTAAAATAGTTATTAATTTTTATGCATATTAGTTTAATATTATTAAATTACTACCTAAACCAATTTTTAAAAAAAATATTATGTTCGCTCTGCGATTTTGGCTGCTTTGTTTATAGTCTCTTTTATATTAAAAAATCATTTTAACAGGGAAGGACGTCGGAGTGGTATCAAGTCCACTTCGAAGGTTATCTGTTTCGAAACGATCATCTATCCAACTCTGAACGGCCAATAAGGGTGGGGAAGCGAATATGATGAGTGGATACGGCTGGCGGATCTTCATCCTCGCACGGAAAAAAGCGTGTTTGGGCCGCTGGGCCCGGAATCCGAGCTCAAGTGGAGAAGAATCCAGCTTTACAGTAATATTCCAAAAGCTATTTTACAATTAACTTCTATTTGGAAGTAATTTATATATGTATTTTTTAAGATCTTTTTAGAATTTAGCATATTCTGCTTGGATAGTAACATATTTTTTCCTTAAAACAGACAAGGAGGCTCCTGAGGATTTACGACGGACGGGGCTCGTCTATGACCCGTGCACCCTGCGGCATGCGTGCACGTGCATTGACCACGAAGCGAACCATCCAGAGACGGCATGTGCTTTCTCCTTCCTCTCATCCCTTGCAAGTGCTGAGCCCCCTTCACAGTCCAGCCGCGTGGCGAGCGTCCTGCAGATCATGGAAGACAGCGAGTTGCTCGACCGTGTGGTGGGCGTCCGCGGCTGCGAAGCAGTCAAGGCTGAGGTTTCTGCAGTCCACTCTTCTAGTCACGTGGAGTCCTTCGGCGGTAAAAAATATGGAGGTGCTTGCTTTCTTCTTTTGTTGGGGTTTAACCGCCAATAAACGGTAATACACGTCAAGGCGCCGAAAAACAGCCGAAAGATTTAAGAAGAATGCAATGCGGCGGAAGCGGCCTCGCCACGGATACGGTCTTCAACGGCGAAGACACTTCTTTGGTAGCGCTCCGCCCTTGAAATGTTGCCGCAGTAATAAACTTGTTGATGCATAAGGCTTCACGTGTGGCGGCTGGCTGCGTGGTGAGCCTTATGTTCGCCGTTGTTAAAAACGTGGTTACCAATGGGTTCGCAGTTGTTCGTCCTCCTGGCCATCATGCGGAAAGAAACAAAGCCATGTGCTCTCTTGCAACATTGCTCATCTTTTTTATAATTCACCTTTTTCTACTTTCAAGGGGCTTTTGTGTGTTCAACAATGTGAGTGTGGCAGTGAGGGCGGCGCAGCGTAGGCTCGCTGTGAAAAGGGTTCTGATAGTCGATTGGGACGTCCACCACGGGTTAGCTAATAAGAGCTATAGCGCACATGCTTGTAACTTTTATTAACAAAAGGAATGGGACCCAAAGCATATTTTACGACGACTCTAGCGTCCTTTTTATCTCCATTCACCGGCACGATAATGGCACGTGGCTTACTAAATGCTTCGGGTTTGCCTAAACATGGACTCTATTAGGAAGCTTCTATCCGTTTTCCGGCGCAGTCGGGGAATTTGGAGAAAAGGCGGGAAAGGGCTACTCCGTCAACATTCCTTGGAGCGACGTCGAAAGTGCCATATATACCGCTGCGCCTTATAACTTCGGAAGTTACAAACTTCTGCAGGCGCACCTCCTGGAAACACCGAGTACTTGGCGGCGTTTCACCACATTGTCCTTCCAATTGCCCGCGAGTTCGGACCCGAGCTGGTGTTCGTTTCGGCCGGATTTGATGCCGCAGAGGGCGATGCCATCGGCGGTTGCCGGGTCACGCCGGAAGGGTTTGCCCACATGACTGCTCTGCTTCTCTCTCTTGCGGGCGGCCGCGTTATTTTGTGCTTGGAAGGTACCGCACGTGGTCTGCTATGCGAAGGGAATTGCAGTCACGAGGATCAACTTTAGGGGGCTACCACAACTCATCGTTGTCTGCGGGCGCGGCGGCTTGCTTGAGGGTCCTTCTTGGCCAATCCCCACCTCCTTTGAGTATTTTCTTTTTCCCCATTGGCAATCCCCATTTCTCAGTTCTTTACTTCCAAAAAAGGCCGGGATTCCGGACACGGCAAAGCGCACGATTACAATAAGCCGCATGAAAAGTCGGTTAGCGCCTTTCACAAAGTCATCCGAACCCACATTCGATATTGGAAGTGTATGAAAAATCTAAACGATCTAGTGGCAAACCGTAACAAGGCTTGCTTAAAGCAACCACAGCCCAATAATAGTGATCCTTATACTAATAATAGTAGCGAGATTGGTTTTATTAGTAATAGAATTGATGATGATTGTGAAGATGGCAAAAATAATAGTAATAGTAAATATAATAGTAGTAATAATAATAAAAATAAAGATATTGATAGTAAATTCGAATTCCGAGTTCCTCCATGTTTATATGAGCAAGCAACTTTTACAACTAATTTTCGCCAGTAACTGACGGTTGATCCCTCGTGAACCTTGTTTTGTATTAAAAAAAAAGGCTATGCAGCAGTACTGCGGAGCCTCCTTAAGCATCGGAGCTCCGGCCATTACTTGGTTGAATACTGTAAGCGCCTCTCCCATACAACCTTCGCCAGTAGCGTAGTTCTGCCTCAAGCATTTCATTTTCCCTTTGGAGCCTGTAAGGAAGTATCGCTTATTAATAAACCTCTTAAGAAAAACGAAATGTTTCAAGGGAGAAACAGAATAGGGACCAGACCTTGTTACTAAGCGGACAACCTCGCCCAAACGCCGGTGTAACTTAGTTAAACTGTCCAATGAGTCGCCAATGCTTGTAAAAATATTTTCCAAGTCCTCCGCTGTGAGGGAAACTTTTTTGCTTCCCTTATTGGGCGACTTTAACGGTCTATCTTTTGGTTGTCCTTCGGTTATGGCAAGGGGATAATCTAACGTAATTTCCATGCTTAATGCTTGCGCTTCACTTGCTCTACTATTATTATTACTGTCTACAGAAAATTGCTTATCTTCCCCCGTGTTCATATGATTAGCTCCTTTAAGCCCGCAAGTGGTTGTCAGGGGCAGGCAACCGGGGGCTATATGATCAATATTCTGCTGGAGTGGCAAATTTACGCACGGGGGCGAATCTTGAACAGTTACGTAATCATTATCATGCTTTTGAATCTCTGAACTGACCGAAAATTTGTTAATTTTCGGTTTTTTTCCTGTTATGGAGGGACTGCGACTCTCTTCTTGCGGTCTTTTTGTATAAGGTCTTTTGACAGTGACGTCATCACTACTGGCATCTTGCAATAAGGAAGAGCTTGAATTTCGCAGAAACTCTTCGCAGTGTTTTTTTGAAAAATTGTGCTGCACAGCCGGTTTAAGCTCAACTTGCTGAGAGTTGTGCCGGGTCGCCTTGTTAGATATTTGTTCGCTATCGCTGCTATCGCTTAAGGCGTAGTCGCCACCTTGATATATATGAAAAATCAGGAAGTCTCGTAACTTAAGACTTACGCATTTCCAAAGAATCTAAGACTGACATGCGGTGGTGAATCCCAGAAATTCCTTTAAAGTTTCTTGTGTGGATGCCACTCTTATGAGTTCCATGCTATCGCCTTTAACAAAAATACACGATAACTATTCGGCTATACTTAAAAACTAAAGGCCATTTTATTTGAATAAAACTTTCGATCAGCGTTGCTATCCACCAAACAAACAAGGCCACTAGCTATAACCTCCTGAGCCTATCTTTATTTTAAAAGGAGCACTAATTATAGACCCTAAACAGTCGTTTACATTACTTGCCTCCTTACAGCTAAGAATATAATAACTTACAAAAATATTTCTTTTTAGATTACGCTAACTACAAGATTTTATTACCTTACTAATCTTACTAAGCAACAGTTCTTATTAAAATCTTTTACTTTTATTATTTGTTCGACCGCAAAGTTATAATGAATTTTTTAACTCACACACTCTCGCTATTATAGTTGATATGTGTACATGTTAGACGGATACAAAATTTATAGTGCTATCGAGACCAATAAACTTATTGATAAACAGCAGTTGTGACCTTCTAAACGTTTTTGAAGAAAGGCAGGAAATCCCATATTCTTAGCAACTGATCGAAGGTGATCCATATATTCATTACGGTCATTGAATGTATTATCCTTGCACTTTTCGATGCACATAACGCACTTGCATTGATAGCGAATGTCTGTTTTAATAGCGAGAAATGAAGGAAATTCTCCAATATACACTTCTATTCCTGAAAGAGTAAAGAATAAATTAGTTGGCCCACAACTTCAACACTAACGGAAGTTTATGGAATCACTATATGGAAAAGATGTTATATAAACTTGAGTATAATATTATTTTAAAAAGTGATGCGGTTTATGAACTCTACAATATATATTATCTAATCACGATAATATAAGTCAGTGTTTGTGGCTCATTAATTAACCTTCTATCTTTTTGATCAACTCCTGTCGGGCTCTAGCCTAAATTGTTATAACACCATATTAACCTTAACATACACATAAAACTTTTTTATAGTACCCTTCATGTAAAAATATATTTTATTCGTACATTAGCCTATATCTCTTGAACTTTTTAGCTCCTTACTTGCAAACACTGGCCACTTTTGTTAAAAGTTAGTCAGTCTAGCAGGGTAGAGGTGACGCCGGGCACGAAACAGTTAGTAGTGGAGCTTTTTGAATTGTTATGTCATATTTAGCGTGCCTACAAATTTTTAAAAAAAGGGGATGCAAAGGCGTATATAACTTTTAGTGTTTGGATCAACTTTGTGCAATAAAACTAAAGACACTCTAAATAGTTGTCATTTTCTTTCCCCTTTTTTATCATAATAACGTTGTGTTTAAATATTGCGGTGTATATTTGGATACTTAGGGTTCATACAGAATTTCTAAAAACTTGTTGCAACGATGGAGGTGGCTTTTTGTCCTTAACTGGAGCAACTTTGTGCGACCCCAGAATACGACTTTTTTGTTAGTCTTGTTTAGTAAATTTTAAAGCTTTTACCTTTTTCAGAAATACTTTTGAATAAGTCTTCAGTAACTACTTCAAGGGCGGCCTGGATAAAAGTTAATTAGTAATTTAAAGGTAGTAATATTAAGTGTTGTGGTACGGAGTTGCCGTTGCTCTCGCTACTTCCAAAAATAAGTTCTTTCCAATAGTTTTGAAGATGAGTGGGAGAAGAAGGTAACCCGTTACTGTCGCTAACTCTTTTTAAAGAAAGTAGTTCGTTTTTTATATTATTTTCGTTGTAGATTGGGGCCTTTTTCTTTAATTTTAAACTGGCAAGAGTCCCCCCTTCCTTACTTTTGGCATCGGAAACTTTCTTGCTGTTAGCTTTTGTAGGTAGTGCATGTTTCGGGCAATAATACGAATCCGGCTTTCTAAAATACTTCTGGGGCACACAAATTCTATGAGCCGCAAAGACACAGTATGTGTTGTCTGACTATTAAACAAATAATAAATGATTGCTAAAAACGTTGGGATTAATATAGGCTTGAGCATTCATTAACGATTTTGTCTTCATTACTTGAAATAATACAAAAAATATAAATAAAATCAACGCAGTTTAGGTGACTACTAAAGGCCTCAACGAAAAAAAGGCTTTAATTTAGAGTAAATTTCTTATGAACTATATTGATATAAAATTAAACACCAAATATTGTAATTTTACGATAAGTGTTATATTTATTTTTGTAATAAATTTCTTTTACGTATTATTTAACTATATGACCTTTTGAAATTTTATAAAGTTGGTGTTAGGAGAAGAATCACAAGGATAGGCACTTTTTTTAATAAATATTTGCTATGAGAAGAACATGTTTTAAGGCGCTTTGAGGGTGTTAGCCCTTACAAACCGTTAAATTTTCTGCTTTATTTTATTATGAAAGTTGTCATTAGAAAATCTTTGTAATTGCTAGCAAGACCAATTTTGTCTACAAACGCACATCTTCTACTCATTGTAAACTAATTTCTTCAAGAAATTATACTTAGTAGTAACATTTTTTTGTTTTTTTATAGTGTTATTAATATATACATAAACTATTTTTGTCGAGTAAAAAGAAAAGCTCAAATATAACCATATCTAATTTTTATTTTTAAGCTATTTCAAATATAATATATGCCCCCATCTACAGAGAAAAGCACTTAAATTTTTCTTTAAATAGATAAAAAATTTTAACTTTAAATATAAACATACTTGCACATAATCGCACAGAAGAATTGAAGAAAACTTTTCACTGTCTTCAGAGCTAAGGCCGCAAAAGCAGATCTTTTGAAGTACTCGTAAGAGTAGTTTTATACTTGTAGTTGAATAAACTACCTTACAGTACTGCGATTCCCTCCAAAGGATCGTTGCCATTTTTGATGCATTAAATGCTATAAACAATATTTATTGAAGAGAATTTTTTGTTGCAAAATGTTTGTTACAGTGCAGTGCAAAGGAGGAGTCAAACTCTGCATATATTTCGTTTCCGTGGATATCTTTGAGATCCCTGGTCAAGAATTTAATTTCTTCCCATAAAAGCTTTTTTTTCGATTTCCAACCCACTTGGTCGGCGTAGTGCATCAACATTGATATAAAGAATTCCGAATTTTTTTGATTTTTAAGATTGTTATAACTTGCGCATAAACGTATAAATTGAAGTGGGGTAATATCCTTGTTGGGTCTTATTATAGCGGCAACTCTTAATTAATTTTATACAAATTAGTTATGCATTATTATAATTAGACGTAATAATAAATTGCGGCGTTGACCTTTCATAATACTCTGGGAAGGTTACACCTTTTTCTAAAGTCCTTAAAGTATTCATGGCGTCAGGTGAGCCGTCCCCTATAAAGTATTTAAAGGCCTAGTAATGAAAATAAAATTCGGTAGTAAATCAAAAAAGATAACTTTTCGAAGGAAAGGTATTATGGTCACTGCCGAACTCACTGGACATTTGTCAACTAAAATTTTATCTGTTAAGAGGCAAAGGTTATTACAAGCTAGGGAAACAATCAGAGACGCCACTATTAAAGTTACAATGCAGGTTAGAAGGCAAAATAATCTACAGAACTCTCCGCATCATAATCTAGTTTGGTAAAAAGCATTTTCCACAAGAATTTCTTTTGTTACGTAGTAGAAACCTTTGGGCTAATGACTTATTGCCTAAGATAGATTCCTTTTCTTTTCATTTTAAGTGGGTCTCTTCTTATCGCAAAAATAAGGCACCACTGATAGAAGGGACAAACACGCGATTAGAAAGTACTTACTCTAGTGGCTGCTGATGCCCGGAGACTAAAGTTTTTTAGAACTGACAAGTTTTATAGGTTTAACTAATTAGGTGTCTAGTTTACCTTACAGTTACACCGAAGTATAAAAAAATTGTTGATTTAACTAACCTCTTATAGTAAGCGATTACTTAAGCCTTATTGATCTCGCGCGATGTGCAAACATAGCTTTAATGTAAATAAATTTATTATAGTGAGCTGAAGGTGAGCTCACCCTGAAAGCTTAAAAAAGGAGGAATAAATACTAAAACGTGATTAGCGAACCACTAAAGGACTATGCTTTTGGTTAAAATTAAAATTTAATAATTACTATAATGTTAACTAGATCACTTACTATCGCTCAAAAAATTCCCCCAGTGTTACGAAGGTTAGTTAATTTTGTAATTACACGTTATAAGTCAATCGGATCATAGGATAGAGTTAATAATTAAGGAAACTAAGCTTTTATGTGAATATAGATATAAGTCAAGTATAGTTTTGTAGTAGTTTTTAGAGACGTTCATTATTTTATTATTATTATATTTTAAATCTTGCCTTACTGATAAATAAAAAGGGCATTAATTGCCTACCAAAGCAATATATCGTTTGACTAATAAGAGACCTTCGCGGAGCAAAATCTTCAGTTTCTTATAATGTAGGATGCTTTGTCGGCGGGGTTAACCACAACTACTAAAAAATTAACTAAAACTTTTCTTTTATTAAATCTTGATTTTTTTTTTTAAAAAAACTTGCAGATTTTTGTTCAATATACGCAATGAGAACAAATTTTATTTACTAGTTTTCATTGTTAAAAGTGTTCGTGACAAACTTTCAAATATACGGCGGCATCAATACCAAAACCAGTACGTTATTTAGCTTTCTAATGTTAATTTAGAAATTAAAGGATATAAAATCAATTATATTAGGTCACAGGCGGACTTATAAAGATTGAAAATGAGAATAAGCTAAATTCATGGGTCCATATTTACCATTTTCATACGGAGAAAGCTACCCGGGAATTGAGCGTTGATCGGGGATACTGCTTTACAAAGCATGCCTTTCCTTTTTAACGCTTTAGCGGATAATGTAAACTTGTTAATGTCACGCTTTGTGTCGAGTAACATTCGCTTTATTTCTTAGTAGGTATAAATAGAAAAGTAGTAAAAATTACTTTAGACCCTTAGTGAGCCTAAACCGTGGATATGCTTCCATCAAGTAAGTAGCTAACCTTCGATCAAAAAAAAATTTTAAAGCTAATCTACCGATTGAGCCCTCATTTACTAGGCATTATCTTTAAGTTACACTATAACATTCTGCTCATTACTTTAACTTCTAAGAGGTGAGCATTATCCATTTAGTAACACTTTATTAGTTACTTCAAATCTAGATTCTACTTATATTATTGGGCAAACCTCTAAATATCAGAAGTCATTATATTAAAATGCTTTGGTGTTTTTTAAACTTTGTAGTAAATACACTTCACACCTCGAACTTTCTATAAAAGTTTTCAAAGCTTAAAACTCCTTAATGTCATAGTTTGTAGATCTTTAGACTTTAGCTTCAATGTTTATTTCTTGTCCATTAAGCTAACTAGAGGAAGGAAGGTGAGGAAAATACAACAATTGACAATATATGCAAGAAGTAAAACTTTGCAGTTCACACATAAAAGCGTATAAAAATTATTGGCAATATCATTATTATAACCGAGCTTTAATTACTACAAAAAACTTATAACCTTAATTTTTTTGAGCGACAAAATGGAGCTCTGTAAATTTTCAATATTTTCCAATTTTTCTATAGTTCGGTGGACTCTGTACAACGAAATATACAGTTAAATATTATTTCTTTAAGTTATTTTATTACATCTGCTTAGCTATAAAAGAGGACAGTGATATAGTTTAGCTTCCCCCATCAAGAAGCTACTGCAATCTAATTGTGTTATACACATTTAATGCTTAATATAACCTTCAAAAGCTTCCTCTACACTCTATTTAATAAATGATAAAGTAAAAAAAAAATCTAGAAGAAAAAAATATATCTAAAATAAAATAATAATAAATAAATGAAAATTTTAAAATACTTAATCAGCCATAATAATTTATTTATAATTTAAACTTTTGTTTGTATAAAAACATTATAATTTATAGAAAGTTAGTCTATATTTTTTTGGAACTGGCATTTATAGTAATTGTGCTTAATAAACAAGATATGAACCCTTACAAATAATCGGACATTGAATGAACATAAATAACTCTTGATTAAACAATATTAACTTTATGTGATGTCGGCGGTTCATAACGGGAAAAATTAACATAAACGTTCCTTCTTTTTTTTTTTTAATAGCCATATGTTACAAACTTTGATATGTAAACTTACCTTATCGTATAGTTGAAGCGAAAAATTGATATTTGTACAAAAAATGCAACTGTGGTAAGACTTTTTATAATTTGGTAAGTAAAACTGCACTTAATTCTAGCCACAACTACTAATGAACTCTTTATGCGGTTAAACACCGTTAAATGCACACATAAACTAGTTTACTTATAAAGTTTTTCTGGTAAGTCTTCAGCCCTTAGTTCGAGAGTTTTAAAAATATCTATATATATATTTATTCGGTACTTTGAGTTTACCATAGACTGCTGTGAGTATTTAATAAATGTTTTAAATGGATTCGTTTACTACTTAATGGTTAAATAAAAGAAGAAAAACAGTTTTCTTTTAATTAAAAAGTAATATTAACAACATTATAAAAATACTTACTTTCGTGTTTATTTTAGTGTTAATTATATGCTATTATCCTGAATGTTTAAAATTTATTACAAAAAATAATTGTTTTGTTAGCCTTTTTTGTTACAAATGAGAACCTTAAAGCTTTTTTATGAGATTTTTATCACACCATGTCCATTAATCATTAATGTATTTGTTAATAAAGTAATCAATAAGTAGGTCATAGAAAAGCAATTTTTAGTTTTTTAAAAATCTACAGGTGTGTTACAAAAAATATGTTACAGTATTCTACTGGCAAATTCATGGCTTTAATTGACCGACTATAAAAAAAAAGTTTTAAATACGAAATAGCGTCTTCTACTGTAGGTTTCGGAGTAGAATTCTTCCATACTTACCGCTCACAAAGTAAATTGTAAAATATGAAATTTAATTTATTAAAAGACGAAATTTTTATTAAAAAAAATTAACAAATAAAATTTTGAGGAAGGCACGACAGAAGTCATTATCAGACTTATTTACAGTAATAAAACTAAGAGCGATGTTACGCAAATGTAGTTAAGTACATGCTCTTTTTGTACGCCTTGGGCTTGTAAAAACGTTTAAGAAAGGTATTTTCTTTTTAATAACTAGCCACAAGGTTAATGTGGTATCAACTCGCGAACGCTAACTTTTTAAGGCCTTTAGGCTTCTATACTCTAATTTAAAATTTCTTATTATCACGCTATTAATTAAAAATATATAACTTCTAACCTTGACTGCGAATTAAACAAGAGAATTATTTTTTTAGTTGATTTATTAATAATTAAGTCTAAAGATGTATCGATTATCAGCGGTTTAAAGGGTGAACTATTCTGGTATTTATACTAGCACACATATATTTAAAGCAGCAACAAAAATAATTTGTGAAGATTTTATATTGCAACGAGAACTAGAGCTACACTGAAGAAGTCGTATAATGTGTTTTCATCTCTGTAATGGAAGTCTGACTACAAATGATTAAATGTTAATATTCTTGCGTCACTGTTAGCAACGTGAAAAGGTTAATTACTATTATGAACGGCTAAACATTTCAATACCGGCAGTTTTCCAACTGATGTGGCTAATTTTCGTATTTTTTTTATTATTTAACTGTCTTTGTGCCCTATTATTTTACACAGGCAATTTTAAAGCTTTTATTATTGCCCACACAATTATACCAACCCTTTCTAATATTATAAAATTATTAAAGGTTAGTAAACTTAAAAAAATTGTAAGAGGAAGCTTGGTTACTAAAAAAAAAAAAAAAGCAACTGTAGTATTCAAAACGCAATCCTTAAGCTAGTTTAGTAACTAAAAAAATAAAGGTTAATAAAATCTCAACGGCTGCCAGCGGAAGCTCTTCATATCTATCTTTGCCCAGAAACCGCTTTAACTGCCAGTAATTAAATTTCTTATACATTATACAGGCTATTGAAGCAAAATCGAAGTGGATACCGCACCAAAACTAAATTCTTACCAGCCTAATTTTGAGGTTTAAGACAGTTCTTTCGTTTTTAATAATAATATTTTAACTTTAGGTCTGTAATTTCTGGATCGTTTTATGTTACCGCAGTGGATAGGACACCTCAACTCTAACAACAATAAATTTTGCTAATAATCACTTTAGCGGAAGCGTTTTCAATAATTTTTAATATATTTTTTTTACAAATATTAACCAAAAAGTATATATTTCGATTATCTTATATTAATAACCTTTTTTTTTATTTTTTTGAACTTAATGACAATTGGGTATTACACCCCGAACCTTCAGGTTTTTGTACTCACTTGGCTGCACCAATTAAACTATCCTGCGTTATTTTTAAAAATAGTGCAGTTAGCAAGTTAGTTTCGTACTAATCCTTGAACAGGTATAAGCACTATATTACATGCATTTAATTTCTATAAATCAAAATTACAGTTTTAATTCCTATTCATTTTTTCTGTCCCTTTAACAAAATATATTATTATGCATTATTTAAAATTGGTCGTCAAACTCAATATTTATAACTGAAGTAAAAAAGGATAAGAAATTGAAGGTGTGTGTTTAAATAATGATATATATAACGATAACATAATTATATATTTCACAAATTATTTTTACATAAAGGACAAGAAAAAAATTTGCTACTACCTCCTTTTCGCCAGTGACAACTATTTTGTTTAAACGATTCTGTAAATGTTATTAGGCAAAGTATTAAAGACTAATGTTTAAA